AATATTTATATCTATATTTATATGTATATATTCAAACGAAAGGAAAAACGATAATCGTTCTAACCTACTGTCACGTAATTGGCTAATTATGCCATACTTATAAACTGTACGACAATGTACAGTTTAGGATCATTCTGGCATATATCGAGGAAACGTATTTTTAGCTAGTCTTATCTGTACACGTTTCGTTCATCTCTCAAATAAATACACGACTATCACATTAATACACGCGTCTTACCGATTCGCTCTCGCGTATTATATTCGTTTACAAGTCGCTCATAAAGTCTTTCTTTCATCACACTCGTTGAACACTTTTTCTCTCTCTCTTTCTCTCTCTTTCTTTCTCGTTCATCCTCTCTTGCAAAGAACGCGAAACGATAATTGCAACACACGAAGAATTCGTATAAAATAAATATCTCACGTATCTTCGGGCTGCTCGAAGCGATTTCTCAAGTCTCGATAATTCTCTAAAGCTGCCAGAAAATAAGAAAGACTTTCCTTTTCTTTGTCTCTTTTTCATTCGTTCTCGACGAATCTACCTTTTCCACGGTCGGTAAGTTCCACGCATCCATATATTTGTCTACAAACGTTACTCGAGTATCAGATCGAAGCTTTCCCGAAAATTTATTTTTCCTATTCCATTCTGAGTTCTATCGAAAGAAAAACGTCGTCGTTTCACACCTAACCTGTACTCTCTTCAGTGTCACAAATATATTACGACTACCGAAAGTACACGTTTCAGCAACAACTTCGAACAATATACCTACTCGTTTGTCTTCCCAGGGAAACGCTTCGAGTCTATCATCGAATTCGTTTAAATAATACGTATCTAGGCCCCTAAAGCGCAATGTAATTCTTATAGAAAACTTAATGCCGAACGTTTCTCAGCCAAATGGCACCGTTTTCCTTTTCGTTTCTTCTTGTCCCACGGTGAATCAACGATGCCACATATCGACAACGATCCATCGGCAGGTAAAGTGAACACTTGTCTTATCCCTGCTAAAATCCTTCCAGTGCACTTGGATGGACCTCCGTCCGGATTTCGTTTGATTGTACTTTCACGATCCTGGTAGGGACGCAGGCTCGTGAATAGACAGTCTTGTGTCTCGCCAGGCTCCTCTCAAAGAGCCATGTCCGCGGTGAAGTTTAACTCTTCGAATGTACATTGGTCTTTTGCGCTTTCTTCTTCCTGGCTGCCAGCATGTCGTAGAAGGGATTGTGCGATATACTTTGTCTGTAACCATCAATTCAAACCTCGTTTTTACTTGTATTTTACAATAGAAAAAATATAGGAATTAAAAGGTATTTCCTCTTTAATTTTATCTCAGAAACGTCTGAGATAGCCAAGATGGTAGAATTAACTACAGCGTTCAATTAAGCTAATTACCATGACTTTCCACATGAAATCTTTTATTACAGAATTACAACGTACGGTAGAAGTTGCGAAACATTAACAATTCAGCCTCGTAAAAGGTCTAAATCGTTCATAAAGTGGCTGAACATAAAATTTCTCGTTAAAGGACTCGCGGCAGACAGCGTTAAACAGCAGGGGACAAGCTTCAGTTGAATCTCGAGGTTTCCTTTGAATTATTCGCGGAACGAATAACAGAAACTTACCGCACGCATTTGATCCATTCTTCTTTCTCTTCGTCCGTGGCCGCAGACATTCTGTACACGGTGTGTTTGCCTGTAACAAGCGGGGAACAACAGTTACAATGGTTGCCGGTGTAATTACCGAGTGCACGACGACGCGCTATAAAAAAGGACCGCGTTAAATGGCGACGCAACACGCACGCACGGGATTCGATCGTTCACGTGAGAAAGTCGCTCTACAGAGGAGCTGCTGCACTTGAATTCTCTCTGTGTTTCCTGTCCTCGATTGAGCCTCTCTGCTCGCGAGAGCGCCAATGTAACTTGGAAACAATGCGGTATTTGTATTCCCCCGTATTCCCATGGTACTTCCACTTATTTACAAGGTACAATTCTTTCAAAGAATCTTTCAACGTATCCGAATACAAATTTTCGGTTCTTCGAAGAATACTACTTCTTACAGTAATTCCAATTTGTCTGGAGATCAAATTTTTAGTCGACGATATTCACTTTATTCCAATTATTCGAAACATTCGATGGCCCCATCGAGGAAACAGTCTCCAATCTCAGGTGACCAAAGTGCCAGTGTTAAAGTCTTCTTCCTCTCTCAGGAAGTCTACTCTAATAAGAGCCTCGACGAGGACTAGAGAGAAAGTCCTTCCATCTGACGATGCATCGCAGGAAGTATCGTCACAATTCTACTCCGGCAATTCGATAATTCAAAGTGCAAGTCACAGAGAAATTAAGCACGCCAAGGAAGGAAAAAAAGGAGTAGCGATTCCGCGGGTCACGGCGTCGATCAATTAACGCTCCTCCTGCGGTCGTACCTTCGACAACTTTTCCCTCGCTGTCCGTCTTGCAAGCCTTGATGAACTCGGAGCCGGCGGCGTACAGCTCGAAGCAATGCGGCTTGTGTCGATCCTGCACCTCTCTGACCTGAATGTTTTCCAGCGGAATGATGCCCCGTGGCTCCTTGTCGGTCGTGTACTCGAAGTAATAGAGACAGTTGTCGTTCAATATGAACCACCGTCTCTTCCAGCTCTTGTAACGTCCGCCTGGAACAACCATTATTCACAATTTCAAAGCTACAGATCGATGTACAATGCTAACTGCGTTATTTACCTGCTGTCTCCGTCAGGGCAGCAGAGGGACAAAGCGATACGATATAAGAAAATAGGTTCATACTTCACGGTTTTCGTCTCGTTTCTTTTTCTCTCATTGTCTTTATCTTTTCTTTTTTCATTTTTTTTTATTTTTTTTTATTTTTTCCATCGGGGGATCCTTCTGGAGCAACGTTTCCCAAAGATTCCCATCGCTTCGATGATTTTCAAATCTATCTCTCAATGATTCTCAGACGATGACCAATTGCAATTGGGAAAAATTCGAGCACAAAATACCGGGTAAACGTGTCGTATCTCGGATGCACCGGCAGTATCTTTGGAATGTCAGGACATAACGTTGAAAATATTCGAGTCATCCGTGGCGTTCGCAGCCTCGAGGGTTTGGGAAACGCTGCTCCAGGATGTTCTCACTCGTCCATGTAACCCTTTATGGCGTCGACTTATCGCCTCTCATCTGCTTTCGATATTAAAACGGAGAGTGGACCGTCTGCGGTTTCGAATGGCGAATCTTTCATCGTCTCTCTCTCTTGTCGAGTATTAACGATAACGAAGCTCGGATGAAAGTGCTTCATCCTTCCATGTTATCCTTCGACTACCCGTATAACGACGGAAACAATCCGGATCGCATTACGCGCGAGCTGGGTGGCAAGGGACCACCGACTACGGAGAACGTTTTCCAATGAAAAACCGTTGAAAATTCGAAAAGATGAGATACCTTCTGATTTAAACACAGAAACAAATTGACAAACATTCGTGTTCATACTTTTACCTATCCACTGCTTTTCTTCACAATTTTTTCCCTTCTCACCTTCTTAGGAAAATAAACATATTAGAGATCGAAGATGGGCCACTTCGTTATCTTTTAATTTCAATTATCTCCACAGGCATGGAGATCACGTAAGACAGAGAGTGAGAGAAAATATCGATAGTTAGATGGAAAATTAAATTATCTGTTTCTATATTAAAAATGCGTCGCTATAAAGGGTTCACATCCTCATGCACTCGTGACATCCCCCAGAAGAAAGGGAGTAGCAATAACATGCGAACCGAGGAAAAGGTTGCAAGAACGTTCGATGTGGACGCGGGCCGTAGCGTTCTTTCGTTCTCTCAGCCATACAAAGAAGTTTTCTCTCATTTCGGATCATACCGGGTCAAGGGGAGAAGTGAATCGTACGTTAGACGGGCTACGAAAGATTACCTTGCTTCCAGAGCCAGCCCTCCTTGTCCGGGTTGAAGAACGTGTGCATCAGATCGTTCCCGTCGTCCTCCGGTATCTTGAACGGCTCTGTCTTTATACTTTCGTATAAACTCTGCAAAAGTTGCGACGATTAAAAAGCTGGAGTATCAACGGGAAACAACTTCGAGGGGAGAAAAAAGGTACTCTTCTCTCTCAGAGCGAAATGAAATGAGTTCCAGACGAAAGATGTGTGTGTGTGTGTGTGTGTGTGTCGGTTGTTTAATCGATTTGCGTCTGGTTCTTTTGAAATACGGGTATTTTTCTGCGGTTGAAGGAAGTTAGAACGCGAGGAAAATATTGGAGGAAGTTTGGATGCTCGTGAGATAAGCGCGTCAACGGAAATTCCGGTTTCCCTGAGCATTCGTCCTTACGTCATCGTTGCGACACACGCATTTCCATAAACGTTTACGTTTAACGTGGTCGCTTTACGTTCCTTAAATAAGAAAATAGAAGGAGTTTTAGCGGTACTGATAACAAATTCTTCACCCTTCGACAGTTTATCCCGAGTGAGACTCGGGCGGTGCGTTAAGTAACGAACAGTTTAACTCGCGAGAGGCTTTTAGGAAGAAAGTTAGAAAGGGGCGAGGTATTATTATCAGAATTGTGACGTAGGATTATGCACACTGTGCTTTAAAAATAATCACACACGAGTAAAATATGAAGTTTATTCGCTCTAATTGGCAATCATATTAGACTCTCAAGGGGTTAAAAATGATCAAAAACCAGCAGTCTTAAAAAAATCGAAACTTTAAGGTTACCAAAGTTCCCTCGTAACTTTCAATTTGACGTTTTCACTGCCCCGACAGAACCATCTACACGCGAATGATCGGACAATTTGGTTAGATTACCTTGACCAACGTTAGACGTATCAATTAACAGATAAAAACAAAAAAAAACGCGAAACCAGTTCGCTGTGAAAAGAAAAGGATCGACACAACCAACGCCTCTATCCATTTGATTTTCTGCAAAACCAACATGATTGCGCCGAGAAATAAAAGTCGAAATAAAAATGGTCGTAGTATCAACATTCCCCCGTGTAGCTTATCGAGAATCGATGATTGCTTTCCTGTCGGTGGAATGGCGCGTATCATCAGCGTCGATCTAAAGAGAGAATCGTTCTGGAAGCTGAAACGCGAGAATAGTAGTATGTAGTATCGCGATGATGGCGCAGAGAGCGCGAGCGCGAGCCACTTTGCATAAATCTATCATTACGGAATCACCGTACAACGGACTTCCCCGTTAGCCCGGTGGATTCATTCTAATAACCGTCGCTTTACTATCGCGACTTGTAAAGCGCGCCAATTGCTTTATATCCTGACTACGTATCACGTGTGTATCACACTCGCGAGCATCGAAAGGTCGCAACGTCCGTTGTTGGCCGCCATTGTTCGTTATTTATTATGTTTGTCAGTGGCCACTTGCCTGGCTGTTAAACGATCGGCACACGTTCCGGTCATCCGATGCTGGAACTTTTCCACGAGCTCCTCTCTCGTCGATCTCACCGAATACTCGCGAAGGATAGCAACGAGGTCTATCATAAATACGAGATTTACGTCGAGAACTAGCTTGGTTCAAGTTTCGCTAATAAAAAGTTATTCGAAAGTAAAATGGTCCAGTTCGAAACAGTCTCTTTGTAGAAGCTCTATATCGTTGCCAACTGCCTTTTACACTTCCGAAAACACTATTCTTTCAGGAGTTTGCTTTCAGATCAGCCTTCGAATTCTCCTTTGTCTGGAGGATCATTCGAAAAGCGCGCCCTTTTGATAAACTCTTCGGTCACGAAAGTAAGTCACGCAGAGCTAGGTAAAGTGAGCATTGCGACTGGTGTTTGTTAAAAATTGAAACGGTAGGTCTCGAAAAAAACGATTTTTCTATATAATCGCAATATCGGTTAAATTGCCAATGGTAACCGCGTTATATCGTGTCATCGGTTTCTTTCCTCACTTACGAGGATTTTATTGAGATGAATGCATATATTTTTTAATCAAATCCCATACATGTGCAGCAATTTAAGAAGAATGTATCGTTGCATGCTCGAACGTACACCAAGAACGCGAATCGGATCGATTCGTTGAACGAGCAATCTAAACGTGACGCACGATACTTTTGCCAGGAATTCGTCGGCAACTTTTCTGATTAATTCATAAAAGCGTATTACGTCACACGCCGGGGGAACTTCAATAAAAAAGAGCATCGTTGCACGGTTTCAATAACGCGGCTAAACGGCGAACAATAATACAAAAATCGTTTTCTCGTCGATGTGACGAATTTAAAAGTGGCGTAACCGAACGGGAACGTGTGTAATTTCCTGAAACGATGATCGCGTTTGATATTCGAACGATATTCTAACAACGGCGCGATGTTATCGTAGAAAAGCCGTAAATTGAAATTTCATAGTACCGAGCCGGTAAATTACGCCTAAAACTGAACGTTCGATGAATATTATCGTGGATTTACCATCGCGATCTAACTTCGACGTAACATATCGCCGCGGTATGTATATTTCCAACGATGGAACACCGCGCAATCATTATCGTTCGCACGTTCCTCGCACGTAACAAAATTGTTACACCTGTACACCGTTACGCTAAATGCAGAGAATCTTTCGTTGCTACCGTAGAGAAAATCTGCATTCTTCGCCGAGACTCACGAATGTTCCTCGAAAATTCCAACGTGGAACAACTTAATCGCGTGTTGGATGTTGAAACAGGTTTGAAAAGCTCGAACAACGTTTACCGATACGATAAAAGTATAAAAACCAGACTTCAAAAATTCCATCATCGTAAGCTTCTCGTCGCTATAAAGTCTAAAGCTTGTAAGTCTCGGAGAGAAGAGTTTCGACGGTTCTAAAATACAGAAAGACCAAGTTCTAAATATCGTCAGACTTTTCTTTTGTCCGTACTCCTGTAAACGGCTAAGAAACGTGTTAATACCGAAAAGTCTGGTTTTGTCGACAAAACCGAGGGTTCGCTGCTGCACACTTCCAAAGCTGAGAACCTTACAAAGTCTGGTCAGAAAAGTTTCCCTAAAAACATTCCCCCTTTACGAATCAAAGTAACATCAACTACCCTTAATCCCTCGAATGGAAGTCAGGAATGACACAATAATGGTATTGTTAGAGGAAGAAAAGGAGGGCAAGAAAAGGCACTTACCACGAGTAGTTCGCGAGGCAGGTCGCCGCCATTGTTGATGCCGCGGTTCATGGATATGAACTGCTCGACGCTCGGCTTATCCTTGACGCTCGGATTGTGCAGGGACGTGTTCAACATGATGATAGCGAAGCTGAGCACGTAACAGGTGTCGGTGTTGGTGAAAATGTTCGGGTTCAGCTGGCAGTACCTCTGAGCGAAGCACTCCATCATCCTGTCGATCTTCTGCGCTTCTCCGGGCAATCGAAACGACCAGAGGAACTGTCTGAGCGCCTGGACCAGGATCAGATCCGTGAAGTCGTGCAATTCGACGAACGCTCGGAGTACCCTCTCGTTGAAATCGTGTCGCTCGCCGAGATAGTCGCCGATCGCGGTTTTATTCAGACCCTCGCCTTTGTAGAGGAACTGCGCGACGTCCTCCGGCGTCGGTGCGAGCAGATTGTGCTCGATCAGGTACTCGATGCCCTTCTTAGGGTCCATGTTGAACTTCTTACGGCCGATCGACGTCTGCTTCGCCTTGTTCGAAGGCTTGGTCTCGTCGGCCGCGAGACCGCCACCCTCCATCGCCTCCATCTCGGCCACCACCTCGCCCAGCTCATCTTTCAGTTGCTGCAACAGAAACAAGGGGACCTGTTAGGGAATCACAATGGCTTCGTCGCGATGCATTCTTCTTTGATACGAGGGCTAGGGGAGAGTTTAGCTTCTTCTTCATCTCTTTACCCCGTTTCACGGCAATTCCACGCGATCGATTTAACGCAAGTCGCTCAGGGGAGAGGTTGCACGACGAGGTCTTTGGACAATTTCTAAGGTTGCTTCGCAGATTGGAGGTCTAAACGTG